GACATTTTACTGTATGCTTCCTCGTCGCTGGTCTATGCCCTGAACAAACAGCCCTACCGACCATATGCCAAAGTTTGGAATAATCAGCACGAGTTGTCTTTCATAAAAGTTCTTACTTTTTCAGTTTTTTGGTTAGCCAGGTTCCCTGACTTTCAGGCCGCATTTGCTCCACTACGTCGCAGAGTCATGTGAGAAATCATAAAATGCTATGGATTATGAGAACATCAATTCCATTTCTGAACAGATGTATGCTGAAACCACGCTTACTGTCAAAGTTGAAGGAGAACCATCCGGTTGCGTACTGTGATGTCCGTTAATTGAGATGTCTGCCAGGGGATGTGCTTTCACCTTCGTTATTCAACATCGTTCTCTACCTTCTTCGCCGAAACAATGTTGACCCTGCTGTGAAAGCCGGCTTCTACGTTCTGGCCTGGAAGCTCTAAGTTACGAGGCACATATCATCGCTGATCTATCAGTGGAACAGAGAAAGAAAGCCGTACAGGAATCGATCGATCTAAATGTCGGCTCTATGATCTCCGGTGATGGCACCATCCAATTGGAGTTAAACAGGTAGATCGCAGTCGCCTTCATTGATTTTGGTAACTTGTTAAATAGTTGGGCTGAGAAACACGCGACTATTTCAACAAAAATGCGCCTATTGGTCACACTTCAGTGAAACCAGTGCAGTTTTGTACGGCATGGAGACAGCTGTTCTAACGAAGGAACAAGAACGATGGTTGAACGGCATGCAGAAACTTTGGCTTTCGACGTATAATATATGTTATGTGAAAGAACCACGTAAGGAATGACCTCATTGTATTTCGGGTACAGATGACTTGAACTTACGTGGAGATTAAGAAAAAGAGGTTAGCCATGTTAAACAAACTAGTTGAGCACAAACGGTTGATTCCAGCCTTCGCGCCTTTCGTGGGAGCCGAAATACGGCAGATTTCGGTTGGGAGGCAAGCATGAAACATGGAGGAACAAGGTAAAAGCAGATCTGCTTTCGAAAAGGAATTGTTTTTGAGATGATGCAGCAATCGGTGCCCTGTAGCAAAGGTGTCGTAAAGTTACTGATGCAGCGGGCATCGCAAAATAAAGAAGTTCTGTTCGTGCGAATGGCTCGAGCTGACCATCGAATTAAAACCTGATTTTCTGAAAGAAGGATAGCAGAATCTATCCTTTGATTTTGCTACATACAGCATTTTGGACAACTTAAGCTTAGCAGTTTATATTAAACTTAACTATACATCAGTAGAGTTATCGATCTAAGGAATTTGTGAAATTCACCAGATATTAGGAATTTATCCATGTCTTTGCGATACGCTTAGCAAGCGAATCGTCAACAACAGCTAAAATCAGATGAGATATTCAGGTGGATGTAATCCTTGGTAAAAATCAAGAGCCCATTAGACGAGCAAGTAGGTATATTTACTAACGATATTAAATTTTAGACGTACTGCAACATTACCGGCAACTAAACTACAAATATATGCAGGATGCTATTCGTAATGAACTGTTCCAACTATCTCGTGTCCATAATAATAATGCCCCTCTGCCGTCGACTACAAAAAATAAAACTGTAAAAATAATAACCATTTCCGAAGTTGCATCGATGCATCAACTCCCATAGCACCAATGCTGCAGCGTACACGTCGATCTGCTTGAAAGCGAAAGCGCTAAACTCAGTCGCTCCCTCGAGCACCTCCGGAGCCATATAGCGACGAGTGCCGACCTAAAATAAATCAGACGTAATATTTTCTGGGACAAGTCACCCGTGGCAACACTGTTTTTACCTGTCCATGAGTATCGTTTGGAGTTCGGCCGTCTTCGCACTTGAGCGCCAAACCGAAGTCGGCAATACATGCACTGAGATCGGTCTTCAGCAATACGTTACGACTTTTGAAATCACGGTGAACTATGGTCGGTTTGTAGACTCTGTCGCCCTCGATGATCTCTTCATGCAGGAACGACAGACCCCTCAGCATGGTGACACTGATGTGCAAGAGCTGGTGCATGTTGATAACGTGACTCTGAACGTTTGAGTGCGAATAAATTAACATAAATTCATATGAACATGCTGAGCATCAAAAAGGTTCATAACAGACACTGAAAACGCGCAGAGTTGAAGGGTGTGCTGCAGATCATACTCCATAAATCTTTAAACAACAGTTTCACTGAAGACTTCTGCAAACTTCATGAAGCACAGTGAGGAGCTACTTAGATATGTATAGTTAGTGAACGATCATTATAATGATAAAATATCTAACAATATCGCAAACTGGAATCCAACCCTTAGATCTAGCCCATTAACAAAGAACTGGAACTGTCGGAAAAATGCCTCGAAGTTACTGCACAAAAAAAAACAACGGGCTCAAATAAAGAGGGGTAATTGGAGAAACAAATAAACGGATTGATATCTATTGTATTCATAACTCTTCTACACAGCTCTTTTTGTCAGTCAACTATCTTTTAAATATGCGATTACTGAGCACCTGTCAGGTGAAAGCCACAGCAGGGTACGAAATGGTGAATTATTCCGCCCTTTCCCCACACTTAGTGACTTCTTTCGATCTTAGGTGTCGTTGACGCAGCGTCCAGCCCGTCACGGGGTGTCATCAGTTTAGCGTCACCTTAGATCTTCTAGTCGACCGCCATCCCGGCATATAACTTGAGGTACTATTTTCTCCAATCGAATGAAGAAATTAATAATGCGATCAAGATACCAGTTTTTAGAATTTGGATACTCTTAGAAGAAAATGCCAACTACAAAGCTGCTCTATGACACAGCCGCTGTTTTTAGATCACCGCGAGAGATCAATAACAGCCACCTGCAACACAAATTTGGAACGCCTGGATGGATTTGCCATCCTGACGGTAGAACATTCGCATCAACAGCATAATATAGAATAGAAGGAACGTGTGCAAAAAGGCTGTTGTGGATTTTCCATTTACAACATAGACACTGATTACCATGGGGTTAAAGCACCCTTAAGAAGTCGATTATGACGTTAGAAGCAATGGGATCATCTGTGAATCCAGAAAAAGCACACGCAATTACGCATTATGCTATTAATGTTTTATTACTTAGTCTTGAAGAAACACTAGGTATTAAGTGAGTACTATTAAGTAACTAATTTCAAATACTACTCTTGAAGAAATACCTGCAGGGCCATCGATACAACGCCGAATCGAAAAACATGTTGAGTACACAGTATTGCGAAAATCCAGATGCATAAAGAAAGTAACAACCGACCATTCGTTACCTTTAAATAGTCGTATAAAGAGCCATTTTCATGAAACACGGTCACAAGCCAGTACTCCGGCTGAGCGGCAGTACCTCGAACTTCTGCCGTAACGAATCGCAGGATGTTCGCATGATTTTTTAAACCAGGAACAGCGTATATTTCCTGTTCCTGCACCCAGCTGTCAACGTCATGAGCCGGAAAGATCTTCACCGCCACAGCCTGGTCATTCATCACAGCCTTCCAAACATCCCCGAATCTACCACGTGACGTCACCTGAGAAAAACAATAAAAGGTCGTAACAAAGTACAGAAAAATCAAAAATTGAAAGCTACAATATGGCCAACCACCAACGGGCCGTACCTTAATCAACTGAATAAGTCGAGGTGGCGATTTCGGGGACGGCGGCAGTTTGTGAGAGACAGAAGAAAATGATGAATTCGGCTTCATTTCTCGATTTAGCCGACAACGGCGATAGAGGAAGAAAATGAAGAGAATTAGCAGGGCGATCATAAATATCGGAATGAGGCTGTACTTTACAATCGACAGTGAGTCATCGAAGATGACGACGGAGGCGGAACGTTCTAAAAGTAAAAAATGCAAACGCACTAAATCGAGAGTACTCAACTAATAAGGCATCTACTTTACTCACTATTTACAGCCTGCGGTGAGCTAGCTGCCGTAATTTGAGGTATTTGATGAAAGTCGCGGTTACACATCGGTCGTTCACAGCAACAGAAATAAATCGGGGGACCTGTTGTTTGTTTGGTCGACGGGCCAGCGGCGGCGCATTCCGACGGATTACAGTCCTCCTGGCTACTCCAGCAACCCTTATGCAGGATCTGAAAGGAAAATATTGGTAGAAAAATAGAAAAAACTAAAAAAAGAAATAGAACTTAAGTTATCTACGACACAACGAAAGTTTCTTGGACGAGCTTCCAATCATCAAAAAACGTAAAATCTGACAGCTAGCAACGCATTATCTTTGAAAATGGCGGCAGTATCCATTAAAGGAAACGGTGCGCGTCTCAGATGAAGCTTCAAGGGGAACAGAGCACTGGTTTAAAACGATTAGGCAATTTCCGGTCAATCAGAAGTCACATGTACTAAAATGAACTGAAAAATACATGATAAGTTGCCAAAACTTGAATATAACAAATCAGCGAATATAAAGCAGTGAAAATATGGATCCATATCAAGCTGACCAGAGTCTCGTGCAATGTAACAGTTATTCTTTTTTGAGATCAAACATCGGAACGACTGAAGTTCCATAAGAACCATAAGACTCAATCCAGTATCTTGGCTTACATTCCGCAAAAAGACAATGTGGATCATCTTCATACAACTTAAACTTCTCAGAACAGTTTATAGACCGGATCTCGTTCATTCAAGTCACTGTACAACCGCCATACGACATGATCAAGGAGGTAACAAACAAAGTCTCCCAATCGCATGGTGAAAGATATTCCCATTGCTCGTGGGATTAAAACAAGTTTCTTGTAGCAGAATGAGGCAAGTACTGTCAGGGTCAGCATGTAGAGAACCGCGACGAGCTCATAGAACTTAGGCAAGACCGCACGGCAACTGTTGGAAATTATCGCTGGAAGATGCAGACCTTCGACGGGGATTTCTTTGTAGCAGTTTACCATCCGTGTGTCTCGTCTTTTACAAAAGGAGTAAAAACAAAGCAACAGGAAATTCAGGGACTGGCACATGCTGGAAATGAGTCACCTCACTGAAAAAATATTCTTCATTTATTCGTTAAATAGCTTGTAACTGACCGGCGAGTGTGGAACCACTGTTCAATTCCCAGAAAGATCAAGACAACTCGTATCTCATGGTGAGAAACCACTCTGTCAAATCCATCACAGTGGAGCAAATTCTCTAAGGACAAAAAGGGACTTAAAAGAAAAGCCTGAAGTGGCCAATCGCTGCGTCTGTCCATGATAGTTTTGTGCTTCGTCATGACTGTGTTAATTGTTCCTGTCGTTCATTATATACAATCAAATTTAAATGTATTTAAACAGCTAATCACAACTTCCTCCGCCATCCTCTGAAATTCAAACTATGAACCTGTATCAGCAAGGCTCTTCGCTCAAATGGGGAGAATCACAATAAGTGCAACTAAGTGATCTCATAGGTATTTATCACCATACAATGCGGAATCGTTTCTCCGAATTGCACGGTGGTCGCACAGTCGTCACTCGGTTGTACATTGCTTTAAATAAATGAACAAGATATGCATTTATTTCAAAAAAATTATTTATTAAACTGAATTTCATGCCAGTGACTCGTTCTCCAATGAAACTTTCTCTGGAAGACACACCATTCACCATTTAATAACTTTTGTACAAACACAAGCGATCAGCCACTTCGGTACTTACGGTGACTTCGCTGCTAGACGAATTACTCCAGACGACATAACACGAGTGGTGCAACGGTGAAATGCCGGTGCTGTGACACGGTTCGACGGTCTCGCATACCTCGGTGCTGCTGTTGCAAGTTGCCGCATGGTACAAAACGCAGCTGAAGCCGATATCCAACTTTTCCGCGTAAGCCATCCACGCAGGAAACTCTACCTCCTCCAATGCCGCACTCCGCCGGTCAGTCAAGAATTCTAAACATCGGCCGATTAATGGATATAGCATAATACAAAAACGACATAAGACACAAGGAAGACGACATGAATGAAATGCGAACACTACCAAAGCAACTTGGAGCTGGTGGTCACTGCTTTTCAATAGTTTATTTCTCATGCTAAAGCAAGAACTCAAACGCATCATTATTACACTCAAAGTGCGTTCAAGTCTCGGACAGTTTTCGAACTACGAATTAGAGTTAGATTTTCATATTATGTTATAATTCTGAATTACACCAAATCTTTGTACGACAAACACTGTTTCTTCTATATCTTCGTCTTCTACCAAAGAGGTTATTCGTAATATTGCATAAATAAAATGGCATAATTGTAACAGCCGGAATATACTGCAGAATGCATATGACCTGTGATTTTCATCTATGTTGTACTGTCGATGATCGGCACTGAAGTAGAAGAACATTTGTCATAGTTCTACAACAATCCTGATCATTGGCGGTACTGTACCAGAAATGCCAGCACTGGCGCCCGTCAGGCAGGGAAAGAGCCATAGTTCATCAGAATATTTGTTCGCTAGCAAGGAAGGATTTGCTTCGGGTGTCACATGGATCGAATTCACATGATCGCACACTGTGGTCACGCGGTAGATCACAGGACTACTTGCAATACGCTGCTGATAGTTGATTACTGTACTTGGGTCCATCTGGCAAATGACCTAATAAAATACTTGCACACGCTTTAGCAACCTTTCAATCACGACACGTCAGTAGTGGCGAATGAAGACGAGTCACAACGCAAAAAACAACACATACCTTCGTGTCTAACGAATAAATGAACAGAAGCATACATCTACTAATAACCACCATTCCGATTAGCCGATCAGATCTACAGAAACTGTAGAGATGAGCAAGACAAAAAAGGTAAAAAGGCGCAGCTCCGTGACGTGATAAAACAATGAAACGGTAGAAATTTGAAAAAAGCAAACAGAAAGGAGTGCAGATGACGACGAGTATCGCCGAGGAATGTAAAAAAAATTAACTCTGGACCAGGTTTTGTCGCCATTCGTTTCTACAAGGTCAGTCGACACGTCTTTCAAACGATTCGCAGTCGAATTGATGACAGTTACTCAGTAACGAATGAATTTTGCCGAACAAAACAGATGCTTGCCGTGACGTCAGCAGACGAAGCTTGACGACAAGGCCATTCCATTTGTATAGAAAAAAAGGTGGGGGAGCGGAGAGAGGGGAACATAGAAGAATGTTCAAATGGTTTCTAGTGCATGGTGTATGATTCAAGAGGGTGCGTACAGTACTGATTCGCTTATTAATTGACAACCCAAAGCGGATCAATATTTCATACTGAAGATACCACATTAACAATTTAACGCATTACAAAACGCTGCGCTTAGGCCACGTATTTCTTTAACAGTACAGTTGCATTCCCGCAACACTTGGCTGGAAAAATGTTTCGCTTCTACAACGGAAAAGTGATAACTCCTGGCTGTCACCTGTCATAAGTCCTTCAGAGAACCTAGCCTAATGATCACATTGAAGGAAAAGCTAGTGGTCGCCGGTCGACAGGACGAAAATGATCATTACAATGTATCTATACTCCTTGCCTCTGTTTACAGTCACGTTCTAGAGATTCTTCAAAAACAAGGAT